CTGGTGGACAAAAATCAGAACCTTGCCATGCCTGGGCCCTGCTCCATCGGATCACACCACCACAGTGCACGTTGGTGGCAAACAGGGCACTGCAGGGATGGAGAAAGATGGGACAGTTTGTGAGTCACACACAGAACAGGAGAAACCTGACATGCACAAACAGCTGAGGTTCTCTATAGCACTGAAGTAATACCACAGGGACATAAATATAGACATGTGTGCATATAGCTCTATATATTTATAGATACATAGCTGTGTCTCCAGTCTCCACTGGCACAGTCTCACACTATTTAATGTGAGCACCAACAGAATTCAAGGCATCCAGATCATCTGACTGCTGGAAAACACACAATGAATGACATCCCATGGAAAGCCCCTTGGATGAGTGTGCAGGCAGTGCAGTGTCCTCAATCCTGTCTGCAGCTTTTCCCTGGGATTTGCTGAATCTCTGTCCCCCTGATCCCAACCCACCCACAGCACCAGCACCACCTGCACCAGCTTCAAGCAGATTTGCAGGCACACGGACTGTGGTGCCAGGAGGGAACACACTCCAGAAGTGCTGGAGTCACTTCACAATCCCACCCTGCTTTGAGCACTCAAGACTGACTCCTATGTTTCCTCTGTCAAACTTTTGTTTTCCAACAAGGCTTGTTTCCCTTGGAAACAGAAGTTCTGATTAGAACTTTTTGCAAATAACATGGGTGAAATTTTTTTATTTCTTTGGGGAAATAACAGAGCTGTACCAAAGCAGAAGCAGCTCCCTCAAGACAGCACCTCACCACTACAGACAGCACTATACTTCTCAAGACAGTTTTGCATATTTACAGGCCACAAATAATATTTCTCATTTGGTTGCAAGCTGGCTTATGCCCTGGGAGGTTTCCAACCGAATGTGCCTCTAGTAAAACACACGAGGGGATTTTTACCATCCCATCCAATTCTCCTCCAGGCAAAACCCATGCCTGGAAAACATCAACCTTTACATTCACCTTCCAGTTGTAACTGTGGGAGAAGCAGTTTTTGTAGGTCCCACGTGACAATGACCAAGAGCTGTAACATTAATTACATGTAAAGATTTATAGTGCCTCAAATAAGAAACAGGGATTCTGCTGATTTAAAGAAATAACTGCAGCAAAGCAATGAGCTTTCATATGCTACACTGCAACGAGCTACAAACTCAGCCTGAATTAACCTCATTTCACTTCAGCACCACTTGCCTCATTCCATTAGAGATGTCCCAGCTAACATGTACAAGTTGGCAAGGAGTGAAATAAATTTTTTACCCTAATCTGCATAAGCCTCCATAAACTCAGCCACAGAAGGATACACCTAAATATAGCCACATCACCCCCGACCACTCCAGCTGCCTAACAGAAAAATCTGGCAGGCAGAAAGTGTAAGTCCAAAGTGTTCCCAAGGGAAGGTGGCAGCTCAGGCAGTCACACGTGGTCTAATGCCCCAAAAACCTTGGCACCTTTAGAACATTATTCTCTGCTGGACACCACCAGGCAGCGAGTTTATGGCATCTCCACGCAAAAAAAACCCAAACCCCAAACCCCTGAGGTCTGTCCTCTCAAGACTTGAGGCCAAAACCCACACCACTTGCTGGATATTTAACTTCCCTTTCAACAGTGGTCTCAAACTTCAGATCGCTGGCTTAATTCATATAAACAATCCCACAATTAGATGGATACAGAGATTCAAGAGGTAAAGTAATTTCTGTGTCAGGCCCGAGGGTGTTATAAATCATGGTGAGCACACAAAGGTCTTAAAACAAAATGAAAAATACCTCGACAGTAGCATCACCTGACCCTAAATCTGTTCCGTGCTAGATCTGAATTCCCTGCTGCACCAGCTGACAAGCAGGATGAGGGATGGGATGAGGAATGGGACAAAGAATGGCATGACAAATGGGATGCCTTCCCTTGCTGGGGAAGGGTCTGGAGATCAAGTCTGATGAGGAACAGCAGAGGGAGCTTGGGCAACTCAGCCTGGGCAGAGTCAGAAAGACCTTACTGCTCTCTACAACCACCTGAAAGGGGTAGTTGGCACCTGAAAGGTGGGGAACTGGCAGGGCCCTGGGTGGGTGGTGGTGGTGAGCAAAGTTTGTCATTTGCATCACTTGTTTTGTTTTTCATTTACTGGGCTAGATCGTAAACCAAAGCCAATCTCAGAGTTTACCATCTGTTCTGAGCCACTCTCCTCAGCTTTAAACTCTCTTTCTTCCCCTTTTTTCCCCAGCAATGTAACCAGCACCTGGAGCTAACCTCTTACCTTCCCAGTATTTATGAAGCAGAGTTTGAGGTCAAACACAAACTGTGATGCCTCAGTGGTTTAACAGGGGGATGGCAGAAGTGTTGTTTCATGACTTCGTGGTTTCTCACCCCAACATCAACCATGAACCACTTCACATGTACAACTCTGCTTTCTGCTTTATCTCTCCTTTTAATGAAATGGAGAAAGAATGGAATTGGGATTCGCAGACAGTGTCCTTTTGTGTGTACACAAAGATGGTGTGGTTGGGATTGCAGTTGCGTGCACTGATTTGGCTCAAGAGCTGATGAGAAAGCTGAAAAGTTAGTTCCCTTTTCACTTCCTGAACCATCATCCCCTTCACCTACAATACCGAGGTGCATTAGTGAACAAAAGCTCACCAGTCACTGATAAGAGACATTTTTCAGGAAGCTCCTCATTGGGGAATGAGCCCAACTAGATGCTGAGATTCAAAAGGAGATCTGTAATTCTCAGAAATGTTATTCATTATTAACAGAGCATTTCATAATACTGATGAGAATGTCAGAATTCGAATGCTTTAACTATAAGATCACAAAAGTATTTAACCTGAGTTAAATTTATCTTGATGTGCCTTTAGAGCTGCTCTTTGTTCCCTTCTCAAAGCAGATAAAGTTGGAAACAAATCCATCTTGTTTCATTGTCAGCAGCATCTATTCTGCTTAGCAGGTGCTTAGGCAAATTTATTAACAAACCTATTTTTAACCCACAAACACATACATCTGTAGAAGGCAGCATCTTGATAAAAGCTGAGGAATAAAAGGAAAAAATAGCAAAAATGAGTAATTGGAAGAAGCTACAGGCCAGGGACTCTCAGGAGGGGATAGGGCTCCTTTATATGTCATTTTCCATCAAATAACTCCACAAAATCTAAGTGAAGACATCTGGTCCATGTGGTACCAGATCTGTGCACTTCACTGCAGCAGCACGGCCAGAGGATTTCCAGTGCTCACTGCTTTCCCTTTTAAGCTGCTTTTCCCTCAAACCTGTGTCCCTGCACAGGATGATCCCCTGATAATTCAACGGGGAACAGAGTGCAGATCATCACAGGAAAAAAGTGTGGCCCCATTTCAATTTGGGGGGTATGAACACACTTCTACAGGAAGATGCCACATGGAAAACAGCCATTCCTTAGGAGATTGCTGCTAATGACATCAAGTGCTGCTTGAACATCCCTTGCATACTGGCAAGAAAAGGTTGCTGGTTATTTTAAAGGACTGCTAAGACTGGTGGAGGTTTTCCTGTATTCTGCTGCATTCCAGCAGCAAAGCTTCCAACCTCACACTGGAGGGGTTGTGAGGGGCAAAGTTCCCCCAGAGCAGCAGATGATTCTCTGACTTCAGTAGCAGATTTTTGAACATTAACAGTTGGCTGCTTTTACCCAGTGAGAGCCAAAAAATCCTGGAAGCTATTCAGAGGTTACAGTCAGGTCAGGATTTCCACCAGCCATTGTGTTTTACATGGAGAGGATTCTGTGGCATCCAGGAGAAAGGGCTCACTTGCTCCTTCCTCTCCTCTCGGCTCACCTTCTCCCCCATTCCCCATTGCTTTTCCTTTACAAATAAAGAATATCTGAATTTGAAGATCTGGACCTTGTAACTTTTTTTTTATCCTTTCAGCCTTTGATCAGCTCTTAGAACCGACTGACCACTCGGGCACAGGCAGGACCCACCTGGGATCAAACATCCACTTGTACTCACTGTGACCCTCCAGCCCAGCCCAGCCCAGCTTTGGGGCTGGGTGTGGGAGAAGGTGCAGCTCTCATGGTGGGACATGGTGAGCAGGGAAGCAAGAGGGTGGGATCCTGCAGTGACTTTTCCCAGGTTTCATTAACCTACTTTGGCACACAGCTCAGAATAGCTCACCCATTTGCATTTTAAGATCATGCAGGCAGAAGTGCTGCAAGGGTTGCTGTGGCACCCAGGAGCTGAACTAAGCCCAGATTCCTTGATCAGCCAAGAAAAATGTTAACCACTAGTGCAACCAACCTCCCTGAATTATCAACTTGCCTTTTTTTTTTTTTTAACACTACATAAATTGTTGGCAAAATAAAATCTTCTTAAGCTGGGGAAATACTCAACCTAGAACACGTGGCAAAGACACACAAGTGACGACCATCCTGTTTGATGTCATACAAACATTAATGTTTTCCCATTGCACCTGTACAGTTACTGACCAGAATTAATCTCTGTATGTTATTTTCTTCAGATTCTTTACACTTGCAACCCACGGATCACTCAAACGAAAAACCTGCTACAGAACCTACAGAAATTCACTGAAATTTGTGATAATTTAGTTCAGCTCCTGCCCAAGGCTTCCTCTTGCACCATTTAAACAAGTTCCAAAAGTAAATTTATTGATGCAAAGTTATCAACCTCATACATCCCAGTTTTCACCAACTACTATGTAGTTTTACCTATGAGGAATGGAAGATGGAGGGGTACAGATCACCTAGGTCACTGCAGTATTAACCTGAATATTGCAAAACCATCCCGTGTTTGTAATTACCAAACACGGATAAATAATATTATCTAAACAGAGCACTGCATCCAGCTCTGGGGTCCCCAAGGAACATGAAACAGCTGGGGTGAGTCCAGAGGAGGTCACTGAGTTGATGACATGCCTGGAATCCCTCTGCTCTGGAGCAAGGCTGTGAGAGCAGGGGTTGCTCAGCCTGGAGAACAGAAGGCTCCAGGGAGAGCTCAGAGCCCCTTCCAGGGTCTAAGGGGCTCCAGGAGAGCTGCACAGTGACCTGAGACACGGGATGGAGGGCCAGGACAAGGGGGAATGGCTTTCCACTGCCAGAGGGCAGAGTTAGACGGGATAGATACTGGGATGGGATTCTTCCCTGTGAGGCTGGGGAAGCCCTGGCACAGCTGTGGCTGCCCCTGGATCCCTGGCAGTGCCCAAGGCCAGGCTGGACACTGGGGCAGTGGGAGCTGTACCTGCCATGGCAGGGGGTGGAACGGGATGGTCTTTAAGATCCCTTCCAACTCAAACCATGCTGGGATTTTCTGCCTACAAACCAACCCTTGTTAGAACAGCCCAGGGCACTGGGGCTCAGGCAGCAGCAGTGACGAGGAGGAGGAGGAGGAGGAGGAGGAGGAGGAGCGCACTCACCGATGATGCCGCTGTCTCTGCTCTCCAGCGTGGACGTGGGGCTGGTGACGGCCCCATAGGTGCAGTCCTTGGCCGTGGCGCTGGCGCTGGCCGGGGGCAGCGTGGAGCAGGGGCTGCTGGCCGGCGGCGAGGCCGTGCTGCTGGTCAGCGTGGAGCAGGGGCTGATGCGCTGCGTCACCGCCGAGCTCTGCAAAACGGGCAAGCAGGAACACGTCACTCGCCACGGACACTGCGAGCAGGAAAAGTCCTTCTGTACCTCACACTTGAGGATTTGCTCTGTCTGCTGAGGTTAAAAAGTGCTTTACGGTTCGAAAAGAAAACATCCGCCAGGCCACCCCCACCTGTGGCAGACACTGGGCTCGTTTTCTCCTTCACGCTTCACAGATCCCAGCTTCCACGTTCAGCAGGAGCCACAGGAAACATAAATAGTGGTATTTATGAAAAGCCTGATTCCATACTTGATCGTGAGTTTTGATTGTTTTGTTAGCATTGAACTGAAAGCTTAAAAGAAGAAAGTACAAATAAGCAAAAACCATGACAGAAAGGTAAATTCCATGCCTCTGATGAAGTGGAGAGCTCTGGGGTAGGAAGCATACAGTGTGATCTCACCTTTACTTACAGTTATAACCATCATATCCAGGAAATCCTATAAAGACCTCTGGGCCATTTCCATCTGCTCAGAATCCTTGTGGGGCTGCAGTTTTTATTTTGCTCTACAAATGTTTCCTCCATTCCAGGAAAACAACAGAGATCCCTTATCTAGATACCAGATGGCCCTTCCCTGCCCAGGCATGCTTCCCTCACCAGATGAAGTTTAAACAAACCCTCAGTAATATGGAAAATTAAGCAGCACTAAGAAGATGCTATTTTAAAAGTGATTTTTGGTAAGACCCTATAGGATACTGTGTGCAAGGAACCTGGAGGAGTTTATCCATCTGATCCTGTGCAGGGAGATGGATTTATTAAAAATCAAAAATCATTCTTGAATTTAATTTAATATATGACAAAGCTCTTGTTTTAACCACAGGCTACTGGATACAGAAGTTCCCCTGAAAAAGGTTCTCCCTGCTGAAGATACATCCTGGAGCCTGTGCAGGGGACAAAACTGCTGTGCAGGGTCGAAGGGGTTGGCAGGTGCAGGTGGCTTCTTGTGTACCCAAGACACCAACTTCATCACCCTTACACTGGACTTCAGAACATTTTCTTTTTAAACAAATGGGCAATTTCAACAATTTCCTTGCACAGGACTGACTGACAGAACAGGCACCCACTCACAGGGCGGGCACTGGAGGAGCCACACCCTCAGGAGGGTCAGGCCACTGCCCCTCGGAGATGGGCAAAAAGCAAGCATTAAAAAATGGGAGTTTCAGCACGTGATCCTCCCTCGAGTTCATCTTTAGGGTTCTGCAGAGGGAAGTGACCTCACGCCTCCCTGCTTCAGGGGACAGTGCAGAGCAGTCACTTCTGCTGCACCGCTGCTGTTGGCTGAAGCTGGGCTCAGCAGGCAGCACTGCACTCCCTGGTCCCAAAGAAGGAACAGCAGAGGTTCATTCCCCATCTGTAATTTGGTTAAATGAGATTTCTTTTATTCTTTGAGAACATCCCCGTGTAGTTGTGTGGCTTTGTATCCCCTTCTCTGTGGCATTTGAAGGAGACCACAGAAAGCATCACACCTGCAAACTGCATAACAGGCTTGACGTGTAATTTTTTTTCCTCCTCCCTATTCCATATTTGAAACTTAAATATGCCTGTGAGGGACTTTTTTAAAGTTCAAAATGGTGTTTTATATTAGGAGGCAGCTACCAGGAAAAAAACCTACTCTGTCCAAGTATTCCCATGGGTTTTGTAAAAATTCTTACTCAGAGCGTAACTGCCCTGGTCCTGGAGGCAACACAGAGCATCCCTGGCAGAGGGGACGGGGCAGCCCCTTGGCCACCCCACAGCTCTGCTCTCATGCCAGAGGCAACTGAATCGATCTCAGACTAATTACAGAATATCCCCAACATGGATCAGCACATCAGCAAACCAGGGACACGGTGCCAATGTCACAGCTCTGCCGGCGGGTTTGTGTATTAACACAGACATCCCAACACAGCAGAAAATTAACGGCATGAGTATTTCCATGCTAATTTTTCATCTCCCCATGGTATCCATCAGGGTCAGCTTCTTCTTCCAAGCAACACAAACACACAACAGGATAAGGGGAAATTCCCTGAAGTTGGGCCAGAGGAGGCTCGGGTTGGGTAAGAAGGAAAATTCCTTGGCTGACAAATTGGAATGGGCTGCCCAAGGCAGTGGTGGAGCCACCATCCCTGGAAGCATTCCAGCAAGTCGATGTGGCACTTTGTGATATGGTGTAGTGACATGGTGGGATTCAGTCAAAAGTGGGACTTGGTGATCTTGGAGGTCTTTTCCAACCTTAATGATCCAGTGGTGGCTGCCAACACATGGTCATCTCTCTTGAAGTACCTGGGATAAGCAAAGCAATGCTCTCCTCTCTCCATGCAATTTAAAGTGTCCCTGGGAAATCCAGTTACTGTTATTTTTCATTCTTTCACATTCTAGGCACTTACCAGTACCTCTCCTTTCCCCCCAGTGCCTTCCAGGAACTGCAGGCAAGCTGACTGCTCTGGTAATTTTGGCTCTCTGAATATTCTGGTTTCACACATTCATTACACCACCTGTCATGCGCCTTCTCTCTCCACAAACCTTTTCCATCTCCTCATACTGCAAGTTTTTCAGATGTCTAAATACACCACTGATTTTTCTAAAACTACTTTTAATTTTACAAAATTATTTCTAGCTCATTCATTGTAGTGGCCAAATTAAAAACTACTTGTGTGTCATATTCAATGAAAATATTCCATTATTTTTTCCCCTTTAAAATTGACGGGGTTTATTGTTATTACTAATATAACCGAATGCAGGGCTCTTTTTGGCTTGTGCCACACAGATGTTTTGACTGAGCTACCCATCACAGTGGGACCATCTTCTGATTATCACAGCTGATGGGACTCCATCAGCACACCTGAGCCATTTAACCAGCTTTTCTCAGTATTTTCTTTAACTCACTGACAGTCCAATGAACTGCATCAAGTATAAGGTAATTTAATTGAGGAGCTTTGGACAAGGAAGGCCAGGCCTGGGCTGCATGTGGAAGAGTCATGCTGGCAGGGGCAGGTGGTGATGCTTCTCCTCTGCCCAGCTCTACTCAGTTCTATGTCCTTTTTTTGTTGGGGGCACCAGAATTGTACAGAGAATTCCAGGTGGGGAATAACCCAACCCAATCTCAGCTGGCCCTGCTTGAAGCAGAAGGTTGGTTTAGAGGATCTCCAAAAGCACCTGCCAATCTCAAACTACAGCATTGAAAAATTCAATCAGCTTACATATGGGATCTTTCAGAATGTAAAGCTTTATATAACTATTATAGAGCATTTATGGTGGAGTTTTTCTATGTCTTTGTTTTAACTGTCATTTTAAACAAATCCCCACTGAAACTTATCTCAGTACAAAATAACATCCACTAACTTTAAAACACAGAAATCATTGCACTTTAAAGCAAATTAAAATTCAGTGTAAGGATGGTACACTCATCTTCCCTCCAGCTGATAAAACTATTGTTTCATGAAATGCCAGAAGTGATAGATGTTCCTTTATTTGCTGTGTTATCAATGCAGCTCCTGAGGAACAAGACTTCTTGCAACTGGAAATTATGAAATAACACAGTATATCACTTGGCATTGATTGACATGTTTTACTTTTGTATTGATATAGAAAAATGTTCCTCTGTGTGAGTTTTAAATATAAATTTCCATTGACAGAACATTCTGTATTATTATTGCTGCTGTTTCATCTGTCGCATTTTCACTGAACTTTGAAAAATTACTCTGTTCTGCCAGAGCCTCAATGTCCTTTGTGCTGCTCTGGCAGCCAATACAGTTAGAAAGAATTTCCCAAAAAGTAGGAGAAAAAGGATTTAATCTTCAGCATTTGGGATCTCCCATTAAGGAAATCATGATTAAAAGCACAGAAAACATACTATTTTATTACAATCTGGATTAGAGAATATATCCTTGGATATATTCAAAATAAGGCAACTGGGGGAAAAAGCAATGTGGAGATGCACAGATTGGGCAGGTTCAGTGCAAATGCTTCCATTCCTTATCTTCCTTTCAGCTTAAGCACTGGTGAGATGGCAAATAATTATTGTCTTGCCTGAGAAGGCAAGGCATGGCTGGAATAGCAAGCAGCAGCTTTTGAAACAAAGAATGTTTGATTTGCTCGGCTCAGGTAAATTAACGCATTAAAACAAAAAAAAATTGTTCTAATTTTTGGATTTAAGTGCAAACTACTGCTGAAAGTCTCAATCAGATTTTGATTTATCAATGATTAATAGAAGAATTAATCTTCGCAAATCCTGTAAGCATCTCATTGCATGATTTTCAACATGACTGGAAATAGGGTAGTGGAAGAAATTCAGTTTGGAATGCAGATCTGGAGAAGCTTTCCCAAAATTTGCTGCAATTCAGAAGCAACTTTAGCTTGGATAGGATTTGTTTGCTGAGACAGCTAGTGAGAGATGGCAGAGTCAGAGGAGAGCCCCAGGAATGAGAGATGGCTGGGGCTCAGCTGGAGAGGCTGATGGAGAAGGTTCCTTCAGCCTGCAGAAAGGACAGCTACACTGGATCCAAGGATAGGTGCACCCTTCCATTATCTGCAAGGCCTGGAGAGAAAACACAGCCACGCTACTCTCAGAAGTGGAAAGGCAAAGGACAAGGAGCTACAGTCACAGGCTCCATCAAGGAATTTTTCTACTAGGTAGAAGAAAAACGTTTTTCACAGTTGAAGTTGTGAGCCCCAAGACAGGCTGTCAGGAGAGCCCAGTGATGTCCATCAGTGCAGATCCTCCAGCCCTGCCTGGACCAGCCCTGAGAGCCACGGCCCCTCCTGGAGCCAGCCCTGCCTCCGGGTTGACCTCGTGAGGTCAATTCCACCCTTGAGCGTTCCAGGATTCAAGGTAAGTGCTGACATCAGGAGATGCTTACAAAGGAAGGAAAAAATTAACTTGGCAATTGAGGAACCAGCCTCTCTTTATCTTCTCCTGAACATGAATAGCATTCAAAGACCCTGGAAAACTTTTTCATGCAAAAATTAGCACACAGCCCAAGACACCAATTTAGTTTAGAGGACAAGTCTCTGCTATTTCTCTTCAGATTTTTTCTTTTATTTATTCTCCAAAGACATCTCTGGCTTTAGGGAAAAGATGGGATTTTAATTTTTGTCAAAAGGTAACAACAAAAGGAGCCATTTATAGTAGAAAGTGCTGCTTGGCTTTGAAGTATTCAGTTGAAATAGGCGTCTGTTCAAAGGACATTTTCTAGCCTAATGTATAGTACAGTCCATTTAAATCCACAACTTGCTTTAAAAACTTGAATGGGAAGTGTTAAAAGTGTAACATGTGTTAAAGGCAAAAACCTTACAAAATCACATTTCTCGGCTCTCAATCAAGCTAGCTGGCGCAGGAAATCAAAACCGTCTTTGTGTCAGTCAGTCAACCCAATCTGGCCTTGGACACTTCCAGGGATCCAGGGGCAGCCACAGCTTCTCTGGGCACCCTGTGCCAGCCCTGCCCACCCCCACACGGAGGAATTGCTTCCCAACATCCCATCTCTCCCAGCTCTCTGGCAGTGGGAAGCCATTCATGTCACTCCATCCCTTGTCCAGCATCCTGCTCCAGCTCTCCTGGAGCCCCTTAAAGCACTCTGAGCTCTCCCTAGAGCTTCTCTTCTCCAGTCTGAACATTCCCAGCTCTCCCAGCCTGGCTCCAGAGCAGAGGGACCCCAGCACTTGGAGCAGCTCCATGGCCCCCTCTGGACTTGCTCCAACAGGTCCACATCTGTTCTGTGCTGAGGACAGGTCACTTTTCATTGGCTCTTTTTTTAAGGAATTCAGGTTCTCTGAATCACATTTAGGTTAAATATCTGAGTGACTCATGCAGAGTCACCCAATGACAAAAGAACAGAGAATTGAAGTGGCTGCTGAGTTTTGTGCTCTTCTGCTACATCCTGGACTACCTGTCTGTCCATTTAAACACAAAAAGGGGTGGGGGGGAAAGGCCTCCTATTTTCACTCTCAGCAAAACTGCAAATTGTCCATACCTGAGGAAAAGGAGGGAGAAACTCAGGCTCAGACAGTACCTACAAAATCTGTATCATAGCCCAAAGCTCTCCAGCCAGCCAGGGATATAACAAGCTCCATCACAATAAAGATTTTATGATTTGATTTCTTAATCTGTTTTCAAGCATGAAATCACCACGTTGGGCAAATATAAGCAAGAATTGTGACTATCTGTAAAATCAGGCTATTACTATTTCCCTCTTCCTTCTGCAGAGACTGTGAGTCTTTATGTAACACTACTGAGGTACTTCTGAAATATCACAGGGAAGATGCCAGGCAAGTACAGATTATTTTGGATACTATAATCTGATTAGAAACACTGCCCACTCCTACATTTGCAGAAACAGAACAACAACAGAAGCTGTCTCACACGGCTGATCCCTGAACCACTGCCTGCTGTTCTGTAAGGATGAGTCACCGTGTGATGAGGAGATGCAACCTTTACCTCAGCACCATTATTTCATCCTTAGGAGACACCTGGTTGCCATGGAATTAGACAACAGCCACCCTGTCCCAAACTCCACAGTGATGCCAACCCAGGCCATTCGGGATCAGGGGGATCATACCTGGTTCTCGTCCTGCACCTCCATGCTGTACTGGGGCCCTGGCTGAACCTCCGTGACTTTCTCTCCGAGGAGGAAGCCCAGGCGAGTCATGAGTGTGTTCGCTGCCTCATCTACGGAGGGAGGGGGTCCCAGCTCTTGCTCAGTATCACCTAAACAGAAGAAAACCAGATTCAGACAAGAATTGTTTACTTCAGCTGCTGCTCAGTGGCTTTACCAACACGACACCACTGCCTGTTGTGTGCCCTCAGTATCCGGGTTTTCAGGTTATTTACTTTATTCAAGCCTGTTTTACCATTCCATGCTGGTCATTAATTTTAGGTCACGTACCATATATATAAGTTTTCTCCAATGTTAACTGTTGCTTCTCCTCTCACTGCTTGTTATCTTTTCAGCACCTCCCATGGAAACACACCTTGGTATCTTGTCCCTGTAGCAGAAGCACCAGAGCTACCAGGGAACAAGATTTTCTGGACCAGCATTGAGAAGAGTGTTTCCTCTCCTCCCTCTGTTTCTTGGAGGCACAGAAACTGCCTCCAAATTACTCACAGAGAAGACAAGGCTACAAGAGCCATTTGGAGAGTGCTCCATGAGCTGCAGAGCAACCAACCTGTGCTACTGAGTAGTTAACAGGAAAGAGCAGGACAGAAAATACATGTGCAACTTCCACTGTCACCTGCTGTCCCAGCCAACTCATGGTCATATGGAAATCAAGTCTCTCCAGATGCAACTCACCCTCTGCATTCACCCTATGGGCCATGCCACAAAGTAGCCTGCCTGCAAATTCCCCATCAATTCTACAAAACAGGCCAAAAACAACATTCCTAATATTTTCTTCTATTTTTTTTCCCACTACCTGTGGGGAAAGCAGCACAGACAAGCTTCCAGCTTGCAATGCACACCAGGAAAGGGCCAAGCATGTATACCAGCATTTCTGTATCCCTTTAATTCTATATCAAAAGCCTGTGGAGGTTTTTGACTTGTACTATCACACATGTAATTTGGGTTCCAAAAGCCAAGTTCCTTCCTGCTCACACCAAGCAGCAGGGTTAAAGCCTGAAGGTCAAGTTCTTACCACGTTACACCGAAGTAATACTGTGCTTAGTGCAGTTATAGGAGACTGATTAGGATTTGCAATTAGTCTACAGTTAATTATTCATCTGATAATGCACAATCTGGAAAAGAGCCCATCTCCATTTCCCAGGTCTGCCCTGGTTTGGGCTCCTCCAGCACTCAGCCTGCAGCAACAGCAAAAGGATGCTACTTTAAATAAAATATTGCTTTTGGTAACTGTAACTGAAAACCACAAATCACGGAATCTGGGATATGCTCAGAACCTCAGGAAATTTAAGCCAGTTGCTTCCATAAATTCCCATTTAACCTCATAGAGCACAGCTCACAGACGCTTACAGCAATTTTTGGATGTCTCATCTGCACTACTGCAAATTAAAAACCCAGGAGCATCTCCCATGCGACCACAACTGCATTCCTGCACCACCAGCTCTGGGAGTTGAGCACCCGGAGCTGTCCTTCCACAGTGGCTGCACTGTTATGAAAATGGATGCTACAGTAGGCCCACGTAAGCTAAGTTATTGAATCCCCATTGTACTGTTTGAACCATCACTGACATGAATCCAATAGATTTAAGAGAGACAAATTTAGACGGATGGCCCCATTTGTGGAACTGCTGACCACCCACAATCAATCTGTGGGCATTTACTGGCTCTAGGAGCCCAAGCCAGAACAGATAGATTTATGTAAAATGAAAACGAGACAGACTTTTATTTCCAAGCTTATTTCTTTCTTTAAACAGGTAGACTACCTTTTTAAAGGTAGACTTCTTTGGTAAAAGGCATTCCCTGGATATGGCTCCACAGCTTATTGTGCATTCCCCATTCTGTCTTCACAACCATGATACTAAAAATACTCAAATGATGCTTACACATCTGGGCTGAAAGGAACAGCTGGATCTGGATCTACCTCTGCACTGCCCACCTGGGAGGATTTAGGAGTGCCCAGCTGCAGGGCACTGGGCACAGCCAGTTTCCTTTTGCTTAGTGCTGGGAACAACTCCTAACCAAAACTGACTCATGGAAAGTTGAGTTTAACCTTGTCCTTAACCCCTCTCTTCTTTTAAACTATCCCTAAAACATCTCCAAGGGGCACGAACCTGGCTTTCACCTGTAAAACACAGAAAACTACAAGCTTACCCCAAGTCATTGTGCAGGTACATTGAAGATACAGAGGATGATAATTATGTGCTTTGGTGACAGTCCTAATGGCAGGGCGTTGGAACCACAACATCTTCAAGGTCCCTTCAACCCAAACCAGTCTGTGACTGTAATTCACAGAATCATGGAAAGGTTTGGCATGGGAGGGAGCTTAAAGCCCATCCAGTGCCACCCCCTGCCACGGCCAGGGAACCTTCCACTGTCCCAGGCTGCTCTGAGACCCATCCAGTCAGGCCTGGGACACTGCCAGGGATGCTGCAGCTACAGCATCTTCAGGCACCTGTGCCAGGGCCTCACCACCCTCACAGGGAATAATTTCTTCCTCATATCTGAACTAACTCAGATCTCCTTCAGCTTAAGGTTCTTCTGCCTTGTCTTATCACTCCATGCTCATTCCCTGTGAGATGCTGATCATGGTACTAGGTACCACCAGCTGAACCACAGTAGTGGAGCTCTGAGACCTCCATATTTCATACTGAACTATCAATTACTTAATTATCACCTGGCTTTCAAAGTCCAGACAACTTTGAACTTAAGCAAAGCTCCATTGTACTGGATTATCCTCTCCTTAAGTCTTAAAAAATAAGTGGAATAATTTAACTGAATGTCAAAGAACAGACATAACAGCTCTAAGGTGCCTGTGAATGGGTATTATGGCAAAAAGCTGTAAGTTGCCTTTCAGGGCTGACAGTAAGACCTAATACTCTCTTCCTAAGTTCAGTGAAAGGGCATGACTGGTTTTTTCTGCCTTCCCACGTGTGTTATCCAGTTGGTGCTGCAACCACATTTTACACTCACTTCAGCACACTTCTGTCTCCCCAGGAAATTTGAGCACAGAATTGGTAACAGAACTCGCCTGAGATATTTCTAACTGTTTTGACACCACTGCTATAACCAGCTACAACAGCTCTAACACATCCCCCACTCAACTCCAATAATAGTGGTGTATCAATAACCAGTAACATACTGCCCAACTGCACACGCAAACCCAAAGTCAAACACTGCATTAAAGGGATCCCAACATGCTGATGGTCTGAAGCTGCTGCACTTACTACATGAGTTCATGTGCTTCTGCATCAGTTATTACTGAGTATGCTTAGTGCTAGGAATTTAAAAGAAGAATAAAAACCCCTCCCTGACTCATTGCATGTGCACTAGTATTTTGAAGAGTTCTATGGGCTGTGTAACTTGATGTCCCTTTATGTTTAGCAGAAAGCTTGTATTTTTATATAAACACACACGAAACAACAGGAGGAAAAGAGTTCTTGGGAGCTGGTGTGCTGCTGCACCAGAAGGTGACTGTAGCCACTCAGCAAGCCAGGTTTCTGTCAGCTTCCTCTTGGCCACCAAACCATGTAACTTGGATTTTCACACCAGCTGGCAGCTTTATTTGGCTGTTCCTGTCATTTATGTCTCATGGATCACTTAGTAACTATCTCCCACCATTTCATAGCCAGGTAGATGCTGTATCCCAGCACATTGTCACATCTCCAAGTCAGCTACATTTGCCTGTCCAGGTCTTCCAAGTGCTTTAGAGTAGACATGCCTTGAATACACCCCTAAGTTCCTGGTAAAGCCACTACATACCAACTTAACCACGGCAGGGAAGGCTGAATTCAGCTCCTAATGAAAACAGGAGAAACAATTCTTCTACAAGGAAAATGGAAAAAAGGCAACGATAGAACTTGGAATACTGAAGTTCTTTGGTTTGTTGCCCAGTGAAGCAGTGAAATGGCACTGGAAAGGACACCAGAGCCACCACTGTGTGATCCAGCCTGGCACCCACTGGTAACTGGCCTGGCTCCGAGGGGAAACCCAGACTGGTTTGGGTTGGAAGGGACCTTCAAGGCCATCAGAGCAATTAAGGCACATTTATGTTGCATTTTTAACTATTCCATTACCATGAAGATGGGACTTCTCCTAAGGGAATGCTGGGCACGGGTACAGGAGCCCACGGGCTGGGGCTGGATTGTGATTCCCTTCCCTGGCTCTGTGCTGGGAGCAGGGAGCTCCTGCCCTCCTGGTTTTCCTGCTGCTTGTCCCACTCCTGATCACTCTTGCATGTGGAAGCATCACATCCACAGGCCAACATCCCAGTTATTGCTCCCAGCATTTTAATGCTCTGCTAGATAAAAATGTCAGACCTGAACACAGGGGGTATTTTATTCTAAAAGGACAGCCTGTTTCACATCTCTCTGAGAGCTTCTGGTTATTTCTGACATGCAACCCTGCAGTTACCTGTCTTTTCTGAAGATAAAGGATTAAAAGAAAGAAGCACAGCTATTACTGACTACCTGAAATTTGACTGCGAATTTCATGTAATCTTTTGAGTATTATCTTTCACTTTTCAGAAGATACATTTAATTTCTGTACAGCTAACTACAAAAGAATTTGAATGTCTTATTTTTAATTTCTTTTGTTTTTGCAGTGCAGAGTAAGGCTGGTTGCTTACATTTTTCTTACAAAACATTAAAAAAAAATTAAAAATCCCTGTGCTCCTTGGACAAATTACCTCTGCATCCAAGCAGGCTGCAGCTTTGGAGACTAATGTGTCTTGGAGCTGTTAATGGATTTTTATTTATGTTATTTGAAAAAAGCAATTCACTGCAATGTGTTTGTACTCTGCAGGCTGTATCTGGGATGGAAGTCCTTGGACACGTGGCAAAGAGCTCGTAAATCTTTTACTTCAGTACCTGAATTGCTGACTTCAGGTTTGGAGCACTTGCCTTCCAATTAACTACAACAAATTCCAAGTGGAGAAAAGTTTTTATTTTAAATTATTAGGAAGCAATTTTTAGTAAGGTTTAGAAAAGGCCTTTTTCACGTGGGAACAGTAAATGTAACAGTGTGTGCAAAGGCAATGCCACTGGCAGTGGTTTCATCTCTGCCTAAAGGTGATTATAGACAAGGGGAGCCTGGGC